TCCCAGACCGAGAGCTGACTGGGGTGGGGCGGAAGACCTTGGGAGAGCGACCACCTGGAGCGAAATGACCCAGAGAAAAAGAGATCTGGAACCAAAAGGGCCAATCTTCTGGAGGGTCCTCACCTAGATTATTGGCCACTTTGGGTCTCAATCCCGAGTTTAAGATCAAATCCTGGGCTAGTAACGGGGGCTGTGCTCCTTCCCAGCTTCTCCAGTCTGCAGACGACCAGAGAAGATGAAAGACCTGGGCAACCCCTTAAACATCACTTTTTATCAGCTTTCTTCTGAGCACAAATCCAAAACACAGCCTCTTGCTAGCTATTATGAAGAAAGTTAACTCTGTCTCAGCTTAACCCAGGACAACCCCACTGAACCTGTTTGTGAACAGAGAAGGACTTGTGGGTGACGTGATGATTGGAGACCATCTTGGGCACAGTGATCATGAAATGAGAGGGTTTTCAATTCTCATAGAAGTAAGGGGGGGTGGGTAGCAGAACTGACACTTTGGACTTCCAGAGGCCTGTTGAGGAGCCTGGTTGACCGAATCACTTGGGGGGCAGTCCTGAAGGGCAAGGGAGTCCAGGAAAGCTGGACATTCTTCAAGAAGGAAATATTAAAGGCATAGGAGCAGGCCGTCCTCATGTGCTGAAAGACAAGCCAGCAGGGAAGATCAGCCTGGCTGAACAGAGAGCTTTGTCCAGAACACAGGGAAAAAAAGAGAGTTTATGGCCTTTGGAAGAAGGGACAGGCAACTCAGGAGGACTACAAGGATGTTGTGAGGTTATGCAGGGAGAAAATTAGAAGGGCCAAAGCCCAGCTAGAACTTAATCTGGCTATTGCCACAAAAGACAAGTAAAAATGTTTCTATAAATACTTTAACGAAAGAAGAGCTAAGGACAATCGCCATCCTTTATTTGATGCGGGGGAAAACATAGTGACAAAGGATGAGGAAATGCAGAGGTACTCAATGCCTTCTTTTCCTCAGTCTTTAATAGCAAGACCAGTCGTTCTTGGGGTACCCAACCCCCTGATCTGGAAGACAGGGACCAGAAGCAGAATAAAGCCCCCATAATCCACAAGGAAACGGTTAGCGACCTGCTACACCACTTAGATACACACAAGTCTATGGGGCTGGATGAGATACACTGAAGCCTCTTTCAATCATATGTCAGCAGTCCTGGGTAACGGGGGAGGTCCCAGTTGACTGGACCAAATGTTGTGCCTGTCTACAAGAAGGGCCAGAAGGAAGATGAAACTACAGGCCTGTCAGTTTTACTTTGGTGCTTGAAAGGTTATGGAGCAAATCATCTTAAGTGCCATCACGTGGCACGTACAGGACAGTGGAGTGATCATGCCCAGTAAGCATGAATTTATGAAAGGCAGGTCCTGTTTTACGAACCTGATGCCCTTCTATGACAAGGTGACCCGCTTAGGGGATAAGGGAAAGGCTGTGGATGTTATTGACCTGGACTTTAGTAAAGCCTTTGACACTATTTCTCACAGCATTCTCCTAGAGAAAACTGCTCATGGCTTGAATGGGCATACTCTTTGCTGTGTAAAAAACTGGCTGGATGGCCAAGCGCAAAGAATGAGGGTGAGTGGAGTTAAGTCCAGTTGGTGGCCGGTCCCCAAGTGGTGTTCCCCAGGGCTCAGTATTGTGGCTTGTTGTTTAATATCTTTATCAGTGACCTGGGCAAGGGGATCAAGTACACCCTCAGTAAGTTTGCAAACACACCAAGTTGGGTGGGATTGTTGATGTGCTTGAGGGTAGGAAGGCTCTATGGAGGGATCTGGACAGGCTGGATCAATAGGCCAAGGCAATTACCAATAATATTAAAGACTTGAAACCACTTCTAAAACTTGCAGTCACTTACCAGTGCTAAAATGGGCAGTCACTTATCACAATGCGGCTTTCCATGGAAACTTCCCGAACAAGCCCCAGAAGGAGCTGGAATCACCTTTTAATACTGAAACTTGTAACGGTGTTACCCTTATGTGCCACAAAAATTAGTTAGAGACAGAGAAACAGAGAGAGGGAGAGAGGGAGGGAGAGAGAGAAGGAAACTCAAAAAGACAAGGTAAATGAGAAAGGGAGGAAGGATAGAAAATATTCCAGAATGGTATCACCTCCCTTGGATCCAGCGATGGTGTCTGCTTGAAGTTGTGATCCTCCAGGCACACACCATCCCATTGTTTATTCATCTTTTATAGTCAAAAGTTCTCAGGTCTCTGCCTAACTTTCTTCAATTAGCATAAGAAGCAATGAAGGTATCTCCTTAGTTTACACAGGAAGCAGAAAGGGGTGTGTCCTTCATTTGCCTGGGAAGAACCATCTTTTTGCGCATGCGTAAGGGGGGGAAGGGCAGCATTAACACTTTCAGTCAACTGGGTCAGTGGTCTTGAAGACCTTAAATTAGATTAGATAGATTAGATTTGGCTGAACTTTCATTGTTGCTGTCTCAGCGTTGTGGGGCAAGGTTTGCTCCTTGGTTGCAAGGCAGGTGACCTCATTAACAAGGGAGTAAGGCCGTAAGTCCTTTGTTACATTCCACATTTTCTCTTATCAGCAAGGAGTTTACAACTGAGATGTTTGAGGCAAATCAATTGTTTACAAAGCCTCCTGCAGACAATCACCTTTAATCCCTTTCCAGGGCCTTTGACAGGAAATTTGAGTCCTCTGCAACAGACCCCTTTCTCTTTTCATCCCTTATGATGGCACTTGTTGTAACTAGATGATCTTTAAGATCCCTTCCAACTCAAACCATTCTATGATTCTATGGTTCTCTGAAGATCTATTTTGTGTCATCTTTCCCCAGAACTTTCAGAAAGTGTGTTTCCATTTTGGAGAAAGCACATCTACCCTTAACAGTTATGGAGGACTCTTTATGCTTAACAGAATGCTTTCTAAAACCTCGTAACTGATGTCACTAAATCTGATGAAGTATCTCTCCAGTTTACTTACCTGGCCCTTTGTTTCATCTGTTCATACAGAGCTGTAATAAAAATATGACACATGTTTTTGTTTAGAAAATAAACTATGATAGTCTTTATTTGTATTGCATAAACGACTAGAAACAGAGACAAAACCCCATTTTCCTACATGGGTGAAATTCCAGATTATTTTTACCATTACCTTTCCAGCTTTCTGAGTCAAGATAGCAAAAAGGAGTTAAAACAAAGACACAGAAGGATAAAATGACATCTCCACAGTTTTATGTAACAGATAGAGCTTATATAGCAGAATGCATTTCTAGTGATTCATATTCTTCTCTCAAGGGCCGTTATGTCCTTATTTATCAACAGCCCTTTTTTCTGTGAACCACAACACTTTCAGCAGGTGGTCTTTTAAAAGCACAAAAAATATTCTGTTTGAATCGAAGGACGGAAGTCAGTGAGAGATGAAAAATTCTGTGCTTCTGTGTTTCTTCTTTCCAAGTTGTGTTTCTAAAGTGCTCCCCTGAATTTAGTAGTACATAGAACCTTCTGCTTAAGAGGCAATGAATACTTGAAACACACTGTAACGTCATGATTTACATTTCCTACCAACTAATCCACTAATACTGGCAGCAAGTAGTACAACATCTGAACAGCCCAGGCCAAAGTAGTAATTTTCTCTATATGGCACAGCAAGAATCAGGCCCAGGTGTTTCTCTCAATTTTTACTATGAGTTTTCCTTCTTTTCTTACTCCTTCTTTTCATTTTACTTTTCTTCCTGCATTCTAAAATAGTGTATATATTTGCATTTCTGGCTTACCGAAAATCAGAAGTCAAGTCAGCCTAAGGATAAAGAGTGTATCTACTAAAATCAAAAAATCATTAATTTTATATTTACTGAATTTCTATTTGAAATGCAGAACTAATGTTTCAAAATAAATATGCCTACGAAAGAAATATGTTTTTATTTATAACTAAGAAAGCCCAAAGTTAATACCAGATGATACTTATTTAAGCTGAAATTATAAAACCCCAAGTCACGTTTCCAAGTTTAACAAAATTATTTTTTATTTTCATTTTTCTTGTCATAGTATTTTATTCTTGTTAGTATTTATTAATTGATTAATTTGTATCAAGACAATGTGAAGCAATACAGAAACTAAATACAGCAGAATGAAGCAGTGTTTAGAATTACTAAAACAGTAAGAAGTGAGGAATGATACCCCCTTGGTTTTTGTGGGTTTTTTTTTCTTAGACCACCACTGCCACCAGCACGATAAATATCTTCTTCCCAGAAATGTACTGAGCAAGCAAGAAATAGCATTTACTAATGTCTAATCAAGAAATATGTGCAAGTTGACTGATCAGGTAGTACCCATGTGCTGACTAATAGCTGTCAGATGGGAGGTGTAGTGTCTGGGTACTTCTTATCCCTTTGGTGGCAAAAACATACGGGTCTTTGTTCTCCACACAGCAGCCAGCATTAATGACTGTACAGAGTTAAAGTCTTAGATGTCCTAAATGTCTTAGAGACATTGTCTTCCTTTCAAATATAGCTGAAATTGCCCCATGTGTTAAAAAAATATTTTACTGAAAAGTTGATAGACAGACCCACTGACAGGTCAGTAGCACAAATATGATTACCTTAGGAAAGAGGACTAAAACTATATAGCAAAACACACACATTTAAGGAAACGTCACATCACTCTCTTCTAAGTTTTACTCGCATTTAGTTTGTTGGAATAATTTACCATCAGTAAACACGTCATAGATTTATTTTGTTATTTCTTCATTGCTAACTTTCTAAAATGAGTGAAATGTAACAAAACAATGAAATTGTGTTCAGGTTTGAAAAATAACACAGAAAATAATCTTGAAGATTTTGGTGAAAACATGTTATTTGTTCAACCATCATATTTGTTCTTTTTACTTCTTCAGACACTAATAACACTTCTTACTAGAGAAGCAGCCTGTCATTTGCTCAGCCATAGCTGATCTCACAGCTATTACTTACAGTTTGTTCAGTGCTCAGAAATGTGTTCAGATATGCAGTGTAGTCAATGCTCCAAATAGATTTTACAATTAAGCTGAAAAGTGTAATATAAGAATAATTTAGATGGTGATGGATAGTTTTGTTAACTGTAAATACTTTAGCCCTTTTGTTTTGACCTTCCATTGTTTTTTCTTTTTCCTATTAATCTATATCAAAAGGACATTTAAAATTATGTAAGGAAGCTTTCAAAAGCATTAAATGCTGAAGTTGGAAGTTAACAGTTATGGTCCCTATTTCTTTTTCTGCCCAACTTCTCATTGTCAGCACATATTAAACACTGCAGAGCAAATAAGGGACCAGAAAAAAAGACTGGAGTCTTAGAGCTCTGGCATTTGGTTTTGGGCGGATTTTGGACACACCTTAGAAATTCAGACTGTGAAGCACTCACATGAACGGCTCTAGTCTACAAACTAATAATTGGAGTCAGAATTGACCTCTGAAGGTCATCTGGCAGCTCCTGATCCCCCTGCTCAAGGAGGCAAGCTTAGATCAGGTTACTCATCCAGTCAAATTTTTAACACTTCCAAGAAAGGATATCCCACAGTCCCTTTGTGCCCTGTTTCACTACTTGACTACCTTATGGTAAAAAAAGCAAACAAACAAACAAAAAAACCCCCTCATAACTAGCTGGAATTTCCTGTATTGCAGCCTGTGTCCTTTGCCTTTTGTCCTATTGTTGTGCACCTCCAGGAAGAGGCAGATACCCTCTTCCCTACTCCATCCTCTTGAGTACTTATACATATTACTAATATCTGCCTGAGCCTTTTCTTCCCCAGGCTGAATAGTCCCAACTCTCTCAGCTTCTCATATGACAGATACTTCAACCCCTCAATCACCTTTGTGATCTTTCTTTGGACCCTCTTCAGTATGTCCATGTCTGTCTTGTACTGGACAGCCCAGCACTGGACACAGCGCTCCATATGAGTCTCACCAGAGCTGAGCAGAGTGGAGGAATCACCTCCCTTGACCTGCTGGCAATGCAGCCCAAGAGGCTGTCAGCTTTCTTTGTCATGAGGGTGAATGACTGGTTCATGCTAAACGTGTCTACCCCAGGAGCTTTCCTGCAAAGCTTGTACCTATCCAGTGTGTACCTAGCCTGTCCTACTGTGTTTGTTGAGTCAAGCTGAGAGTCTGGCCAAAAAATAAGGCAGAGATCGACAGAGATGAGCTTATTTGTTTCTCATTACTCTGTTTGCACACCTATAGGCAGCTCTTGAGATAAAAATACATTATGAGTGGGTGAACTGTGTATTATATGGAATCATAGAATGGTTTGGGTGGGGAGGGACCTTAAAGATCATCTAGTTCCACCCCCCATGCCACGGGCAAGGACACCTTCCACTAGACCAGGTTGCTCAAAGCCTCATCCAACCTGGCCTTTAACACCTCCAGGGATGAGGAATTCACAACTTCTTTGGGGAGCCTGTTCCAGTGCCTCACCACCCTCACAGTAAAAACCTTCCTCCTAATATCTAATCTAAATCTACCCTCTTTCAGTTTAAAGCCATTACCTCTTGTCCTGTCACTACACTCCCTGATAAAGAGTGCCTCCCCATGTCTCCTGTAGGCCCCCTTCAGGTACTGGAAGGCTGCTCTAAGGTCTTCC